CTGTGAAAATACAGAGAGGACAAAGAATTTGAGTAACGTGGGTATGTGGGAGAAGAGAGTAGAAGTGACAATGGCGGAGAAATAGAGATTTAGGGTGGGAGAAAATTTATGAAACGTAGGTTTGTGGGAGAAGAGGGTAAAGTGTATGGAAGAAGAGAGAGAAAAGCTGGTCAGAGGAGATATACGCTAATTAAGTGAGAGAAAATATAAAAAATGAGAGAAAAATATTTTAAAGCATATATGATGCCTTAATTGTAGGATGGAACTATATTTAGATTTTTTGCTATAAACTATAAAAGGTATTTATAGGATGTAATATTTTAAAATGGTATTTATTTAATATAAATAGGGTACTAACCTATTCTATAGGTGGTAAAATTTCCTAAAATAAATAATAATGAGACTTTTCTTTAGGTCTGCAGTTAGGATACGCCACGTGTTATCATCTTATGCATCATGGAAATCTAAAATTTCACCATTATCAGTTATAAATAAATAAAAAGCATATGATATTTCTTGCCGACTCATCCATCATTGGAATTATAGAAGAGTTCGTACCCGGCAATAGAGTATTGTTTTGCGCTCCACGTATACATAAATGCTCATTCCTTTTTATATTAGCTTTCCAAATGGATGAATCGAAAGAAATGACATGAACATTTAACCCTCGAATATGTTTGAAGATATCGAAATGATCTTTCATTTCGGAGGAAAATTTACAAAGTTCCGTTTCCAACGAGAATTGAATTGACCTTTCCCTAAGTTCGATCGCATAATCTAACATATGAATATTCTTACTAAAAGACTTAGATATTTTGTGCCCTCACTCAGGTCACTCATATATTCTTTTTTCTTTTCTTTGCTTGACCTAAAAAAGAATAAGAGCGAAACAACTTTCTTGTTAATGCCCTTTGTATCTGTATTAATTTATGATTAGTTTTTCTTCAAGTATGAGTTTATTAAAATCAAAGCAGGTGAAAGAGTCTTTCATTTGTGAGAATTAACTTTGATTTGAATTTATAAGAAAAGAAAGACATTTTGGTACTATCAATGGTTTACTAAGTATATAATCTTAGTTGTTTGCGAATATGTAGCCACAAGGTAAATCTACTAAATATTTTCATCTGAGTTGAGATATTTATCCGATTACTAGTTAGATTGGAGCGTCTAGCTAACAAATTTTAAGGGGCTATTTATGTATTCGGCCTTTCGATTTTCAAATATTTTCATACTTTAGATAATCAGTAAAATTAGTTGATCAATAACTTAATTTCATTACGATAATAGTAAATTATCTGCTCAAAAGGTGATTTCTATACTTCGATTATAAAACTATGTCAGAGGACATTCCAATTGAATCAGATTAGACAATCTACATCAAACAAAAAAAGTGATTGACAACAAAAGAAGTACAATCCCTTCAACAAAGATTTCATAATACCAGATCGCAGGGGGCATTTGCATCTATACCCGCTTTTGTGTCACGTTTTAACTTGTGTCCGCTTTGCAAAAAAAATTGCAAGCGTACCCGCTTTTTCGCATAACTTCAGCATATGGGGCTGAAGTAGCAAAGACAATCATGCAAAACTTCAGCATTCTAGTAGCCGGGCCTGAAGTTCAGCTCTAGAGCTGAAGTTTTTGTTTGTAACTGGCGAACTTCAGCTCTAGAGCTGAAGTTTTTGTTTTGTAACAGTCGAACTTCAGCTCTAGAGCTGAAGTTTTTGTTTTGTAACTGGGGAACTTCAGCTCTAGAGCTGAAGTTTTTGTTTTGTAACTGGGGAACTTCAGCTCTAGAGCTGAAATATTTGTTTGTAAGCTTCAGCTCTAGAGCTGAAGTTTTTGTTTTGTAACTGGCGATTAGAGCCAAAGTTCTAGAGCTCTAGAGCTGAAGTTTTTGTTTTGTAACTGGCGATTAGAGCCAAAGTTCTAGAGCTCTAGAGCTGAAGTTTTTGTTTTGTAACTGGCGATTAGAGCCAAAGTTCTAGAGCTCTAGAGCTGAAGTTTTTGTTTGTCTTTTTTTTTTTAAGATTCACAAAGCAGAATTCATTTTGCCATCTTTCGCCAGAAGTATGATCGAGTCTTAATCAATTGAATAATGAACACTGGTGGTGCAATCATTGGACCAAGATCGAGTCTTAATCAAGTTAATAAATAAGTGAAATGAGACGTACTGTATGAAAATTCTGCAGTAATTATCATAATTTCCAATTGACCAATTATTGTAAAATTCTTTCTATGTGGTGTTTGGTACTTCAATATAAACTTTCCTGCTGAAGTTTTGAATCGACGTTCCAACTCAATCTTCGCAAATCAGTTACTTATTTTTCTTTCAGTGTACTTAGTAAACTAATTGGGATCGGCACTTCGATAAAAGAAAGAGGTTGAGGGTGGATATAACTTTGATGAAGAGGAGGAGGAGAAAGGGGGTTGAAGTTTAAAAAGTGGGTAAAAGTTAAAAGTTTTAAAAAAAAAATGGATATAGGTTAAATGTGGTAGTTTCTTCTTATTATGACATTGCAAACTTGTAGATTAATGTCAAATGAAAATTAAGTTGTCTGTGTTATCCCTATCAATCCAAACACGGCCATGTTCAGTGAATGTTTTTTCTACACATTAACATATCTCAACTTCCATATGAAAGATACTACAAAGTCCTTGTCTTAGGTGTTGAAGTAAATGAAAAGCCCAACTTAAGGCTAATATTACATAAAAATACCAGTCTTTGATAATCACAATATCGTTCTTTTAGCTATTTTTATGGACAATTCACAGCATCATTTTTACTTTTCGAGTTTCAACTGTTCAAGAATTTGATCCTCGAGCTGAGGAAAATTTTCCTAGTGTCTATGGTATCAGTTCAAGACTACATAAATATGTTATTTACTGAACTCGCTGAGGCTAACACTGTCTCCACTACTAACCGGTCGCAAGATAGGCATTCCAAGATCAAATGGTCCTAAAGAGTCTTCCTGCAACAAACATAGGAAAGGAATATGTTAACTTCTCCTGTTCCTTGACAAGAAGCAAAATTTCAAATGGACACAAGATTAGTTAAAGAGCGGAAATGTACCCATTTGATGCCCTTTAGCCCAACGCTGTTGTCTTCATCAGAAACCCCCCTTGGACGGGAAATGAGGGGTGTCCTTGGTTGCTGAGATGGTTGATCTTGTGCAATCACACTTTGAGTTGTGCACTATAACAACACCAGAATTAAGAAATGGTCCATCCTTCCATAAGAACATCAAGAAGTTATGTGATAATGAAGGAAGCAAGATTAGGAAGCTCCACATTGAGAACTGATCACATGGAAGCAATATTATCAAAAGCCAAAAACTAATGATGGCTAAAATGAAGCTTTTTTAGTCTGGAAACCAGAAAAGATTATAGAGCAACAAACCTCAGGAGCACTAGAGGATGATGGAATTCTGAAAGATTTCGAACTTGACTCATGACAATTGCCAGGACCAGCTGTTCCACACGAAGTAGTTGCATTTTTGTTTCCTGATGAAATTTTACGCACTGGAAATGCATGGCATGTCTCTTCAGCATCCAAGATAGACGAGTGCAATTCATGAGATGATGACTTTGAAATTTCAGGGTGTGAATTTAGGCGGGCAGCTATAAAAGCATCGAGTGAATCAGGAAAAGATGACGTAGGTTGTGAGCTTGGTTTGCCCTCAGTTCCTTGGTCATGTTTTTTTACTTTTTCCAGCAGAGACACCTCAGATAGCAATCCTCCAATGCTCAAATTAGTGAGATTAAAATCCCATGAAAATTTTGACTCATTGTGCTGGCCATACTCTGACGTTTCCTTCAATCCAGATTTGCTTCCTTTTGAAGCTAAATTGCAATCACTAACCTTTCCTTGAGAAGATGCTTCAGAAAAGAAGCTTCCTGAGCTAATAAACGAAGCAAATGAAGATGGCTGCAATCCTACTCTGTTCTCTTGTTTCATTCCAGTAGACATCTTCCCCTGCAAAGACACTTCAGACAGCAAGCCTCCAACACTAATATCAGAAACTAACTGGATTGGCTGCAAATCCATTTTAGTTTCCCAGTTGCTGATCTTTCCTTGCAAAGATGCCTCAGACAGCAATCCGCCAATGCTCAAGTTAGTGAAAATATCATCCCATGGACTTACCATCTTTGCAGGGACATTTTGCTTTCTTGCTCCATCAACCTAGAAAGGAGTATCAAGGACCAAATTCAAGACATATAT